TTTTATGGGCATGATGGCTTTATATGTTTGGGCTTAGTTAGGAATGAATTCGACATAGTCCGGGCTAAGTGAATTGGGTTGCATTGAAAACTTTTAAATGCTTGTTCACATAATAAAATTCCGATATTTTTGTTTTATTTTACTACGTATAATATTATTTCTTTCATTTTTAGTTGACATTGTTTGACTTTACACTATTTACACACTACATTTTAACTCGCTTTTGTGATTTATGGATACGATAAAATATAATTAATATAATTATTTTAATCATGTGGGATCTTGTTTGAATTATCTATATGTATATTTTATTGATAACCATTTTTTATAATTTTACAATATTGATAATTGAAGTTATTAAGCGTTATAAACATGCGTTGACAAACGTAATAATAGAAAGGTGTCAAGCTCTCAACTAAAATCTGTATATAATAGTAGGGGTGTTCATTATGATATTTCCGTATCTCAAAACACCTCAAATATGTATTTGTAATCATTATGATACTTTGACAACACATGGAAACATGTTCTAATAAATATATCAAGATATATGAGCGTTTTTTCTTAAAAATAGGTACGGAGTAAGAGTTTGAAATCAAATGAACTTTAACTCCAAAAAAGAGATAGCAGAATCCTATCTTGCTGCAATCTTTCCAAATACTCTCTTCGTCCCCAAAAGAACGACTCATTTGGCCTAATTTTAGTCCCAAAAAGAATGACCCATCAGCATTAAAATACCCACTAATCTATCTATCTATATATTATACTAAAAGACAAGCGCCTCAATGTGAGGATGACAAATGTCACTTTCTCATTGGCTTATCTTATGTATAAAATATATCTATATAATTACTGTTTACATATTCAAGCATAGTTATTTTTGTTAAACTTCAAACAATAAAAGCAAGTTTGTATACATGCATAAGATTTTCATGATTTCCTAACATAAATATTGATTTAATTTTTTATAATAAATTACTTTCCAATACTACAAATAATCCATAAAATCTTTCCAATCTTTATTTATAGTTAAGTTAAAGAATAATAACTAATTTGAAGCAATATGATTAAAGTGACATAATTAAGGAAACAAATATTTCGTATTTTGAAAGGCTAATATTGTTTTTTTTCTTAATGAAAATTAAATAAAAATCGATAATATTTAGTTTGACGTCAATTATGAAATCAATACAAACATTTAATTTAAAAAAAATCAGATGTACAATAAAATATTGTGCACCTATTATAAAAGCTACCCTGTAATGAATGAAAGTTATTTATGTTTTATTGATAAAAGTTACCCAAAATAGTCTACAAGTTATCCTAAATTCAATTCAAGTAATCGGATGAATACAAAAGTTTTTGATAAAGATACAAAATTGTGTAAAGATTACTTTTATCGTTTGTTGTACTCCTTGGCAAATACTGAACGTTGAGTCGAAATGTTGTCTTGGAAAAAAATACATAATCTTGAACATAAATTTAATTTTAATCGGTCTTTCATTTTCTATACAATGTCTTTTACAATGACTTTTTTTTTCTTGCATTAAAAAAAAAAAAAAAAAAAAGCTGAACCAATAACCAATCTAAACAAGAAGAATAAAAGTTAAATTGAATTAGACATTTGACGGAAAAGGGATAGATATAAAATGTATTATAACTATTACTCATGTTTTAAATTGTAATATTCGTATTAACAATGCTATTACTTATGAATTTTTTTTAGAAAAACTAACATTTTGATTTAAAAATCGTGCATTGCTCATGTACTATACTAGATATACAACAATCATGTGCAATAATTTATGTTGTTTTATACATAATAATACTTTTAACTATAATAGTATGTGTATATAATATAATATTTTTTATATATAAAAAAGTATTTGTATATAATATAATATTTTAATTTATAACACGTGTCCACCATACCAAAGTGTAGTCTCAATCACCACTACACCAATTCGTTGTTGGTGTAGTACTGGTGATTGAGATTACACTTGGTAGGGAGGACCTATGTGCTCCCCTGCAACAACAATCAGAAGGGGAGTGGAACCTAATAACTAAAACTGATCCTCAAATCTGGATTAGCCCAAAGGGTGAACCAGATAAAACACCCAAAACTCAATGCATATATGACGGGAATTAACTTATCCTTTATCTATCTTATACAAAACTCCAAAGTCTAATTTTTTTTTTCAAAATATAATAATACCATTTGTAAATTTTTGTTAATATGAAAGATATAAACCTATCAAAATGTATATATAGTTAAATTGTTTAATAACTTATATCGAATGCGTAGTTTTATTAAAATTATTTGCATGTAATCATTAAATGTGTTGGATGTTGTGTAGCTATGCAATGTCCAAAACTTTAGTTGAGCGACTTTGATTTAGTGATTGTACGGTAAAAAGATATTGATTTCGATCTTGAAACCTAATAGTCTAATAAATTCTAAATAGAAAAATTAAAACAAAAGGAAGTGAAAATAGTAAATGGCTTTAAATATTGAAATAAACATAACCTTTTAAATCAATTTAGCGAATTCAAGAGACAATTTTAAGGCATTTAAAATTAAATGGGGGAAAATATATGTAAAAAGAACATTTTTATATATATAAATGTCCATGCGCTATTATGAGAGTTTTGTTAACCTTTTTATAATTAAGGTAGGGATAAATCTTAGTAATATATACTCCGTATATTTTATTTATATAAAATTATCAGTATCCATACCTATATACGAAGTATTTGTGTCGTATATTATATTTAATCAGTTGTTGGTTATATATATGACTATTATATAATATATAGTTTTTGGCACAATGCTTAACTTAGGAAAATATATGTTCTGGTAGGTCAAATATAAGGTTATTATTGTGTCTATAGATTTAATGAGTGCGATGGGTAAATAAAACATGTATATATTAGATTGATTGTAGCTACTAATGCGGATGGTATGATAAGAAAATTTTAGTTTTTTCTCAACTAGAGATATAAATAAATTAGTTCACTTCTTATATAGCTATGTAGAGTATTATTCTCCGTTAAAAAAAATGTAGAGTATTATTCAATTATTTTTCAATTAATAAAATAACATTATAAAAAAATTAAAAGAGATTCAAATAACGTTCCTTTAATTTTTTTTATTGACCATTAGTACAAGTTCTTTAATAGTAAATGAATTATCTTTGTTTTTATTTTTATTTTTCCTACGGGTTTAATAATTTGATATATAAACCGTGCATCGCACGGGCACTATGCTAGTTTGCAACAGTATTTGTGCAAAATTAGTTTCCCCATATAAAATTTTCTTTTTCCATATACTTTTATTACTATATCTCTCTACTTTTTTGAAAACCCCATGTAAATTTATCTTTTCAATATACTTTTACTTCTTTTTATTTAACTTTATTAAAACCCGCGAAATCAACTCAAATGGGTCGTTCTTTTGGAGACAGAGGGAGTAATTAGGGACAACAGAATTAAAGTATCGCATCTTCAAAAATGTCTTTAGCGATGTTCAAAAACTGATTCAAGCTGAAAAATCGTCCAATTGGATGAAGAGTACAAATTAAAATCTCTATTATGAGTACATTAAACGTTTAAAATAGAAATTAAACACTCAATTTTCTTATTATTTATTTATTTCTTTTATATTATATAATATTAAAAAATTGGAAAATTTGATTTTTAACACCACAAAAAAAACGAAAAAATGGTTTTTAACACTTCAAAAAAATAAAATATAAATAAAAAAAAAAAAAAAAAAAACACCTTTTATTTTAACACCACAAAACTTTAAAAAATTGGCTTTCACCACCACTTAACTGATTTAGGGATGAAAGCCGTTAGTGGGGCCGCAATGCCTACGTGTCAGCATATTATTGGTCTAAAATAATAATTAAAAAAAGGGAAAATCCTAAAACTACCCAGCCACCCCACCTCCGCCAGCCACGCCTCCGGCAGGCTGCCGCCGCAATCCACTCGCCTTGACAGCCCCATTCCCAACCCCAGGTAAATCCCTTCCCTCCCTTTCCCCTACCCAAAATCGGCAACCCTCCCCCAAGACCACCTTAAACGGCTGCCTTTTTCAAACACCTTGAAATCGGCAATAAAAAAAGGCCGCTAGTTCGAATTTGGCCGATTGAGGGCCGAAATGGTTGGTTAAGGGCCGAAATTGGCCGATTTCGCCTGTAAGTGGCCATTTTATGGTTGTTTGAAAATCGAACGGCCTTAGATTGTGGCCGTTGAGGGTGTGATTGTCGGTTTTGGGGTGGGGAAAGGGAAGGAGGGGGTTTTCCGGTGGCTTTAGACTGGCAGCGGGAGGGTAATGGTGAGGCACAAGTGGCGCCGCGCTTCCGGCAGGTGGGGCTGGGGTGGCTAGGTTAGTTTAGGGTTTTTGGTTTTTTTTTTAAATTTTTTAATTTTTTTTTATATATAAACTAATAATATAATTGGACCCACTTAACGGAATTTTGGATGGCAGCCGTTAAGTGGTGGTAAAGCCAATTTTTTTAAAATTTTGTGGTGTTAATTTTTATTTATTTTATTTTATTTTGTAATGTTAAAAGCCATTTTTTCGTTTTTTGTGGTGTTAAAAATCAAAATTTCCTAAAAAAATCATTGAAAAAATAAATAAAAACATGGCTAAAATCAGTCCAAACCAGTCCGGTTCGGATTTTTGATCGGTTTTTATGGTCTGGTGTAGGTTCGGTGCAATTAAAACTATTCCAATCTCCGATTCTTGAATTTTAATTTTTCCGATCTTCGCTCTAGTCCAATTCAATAAAACCGATCTTGAATCAGTGCCTTGCTATAGTATAAGAATTGTGCCACATGAATCATAAACACTAGTTCACTTCTTGAGCCCCCAAAAAGTTTAGTTACTTCATGTGTTTCTTGTGTCAAAATATTTTACCCTGTTCTTTGAATAATTCAAATTTTATGTCTTTTTTAATTGCATTTGATTAAAAACAATACAAGTGCAAGTCAAATTGAAACAAATAGAAAACCCATTTTATACATTATCTAACATATGAAACATTGAAGGCCTTTTTTTTCTGCTGTTTTTTTTTTTTTTTTTTTTGCCTTCATTTTTACACAACGTGATTGATCAAGTCCTTATGATCTAGCAGGACACATAAACATACACAAACCACCACTTTCCACAACCACTACTAGTGGTGTAACTAGTGGCGGTGGTGCACACATTCAGCCGGAATAGTAGGAAACCGGGCGGTGTCAGTACAATAGTCATAAATCAAGTGGTTAGCCTTAACCCACTTCAGCTGATGGCTCTGGTGGATGCTAAGCTCAGACATAGTAGGCTCATTCCACCAGTATTTTCTCTCTGTACCACTGCTACACCTCTTCATGTTATCAGCGGCCGTGGCGGTCGCCTCCGGGCACTCACAAGCATCAATCTCAAACCCTTGGTAAGAAGCAATAAAAGGAGCATGAGACCAATCTGTCTTCACCCTTCCACCTTGTGTAGCCCAATCATCTGCATTCCATATTGAGCTGTATACTCCCATTGCTTGGTCTTTGGGAAAGGGAATCCCTCTATGCTCTAAATTTGTGTGTCGTCGTATGGGTGTCTCATCTACCATGAATCTGAAATATCCCAAACAAACATAAATTTTTCTACGCTTCAAGTAAAACCGCTAACTCAAGTAAGAGTCTAATCATCACAGAAAATAAGACGATTTGTATTCCCGAGTCACGGGTATTAAATTTAATTAGTTCAAAATGAGTAAAATGAGAAATTGTTGCACAACAATCATTTGAGGGGACCATAGAGGTAAAACAATTCATTGCATTTGTGTACATGGTAGGGTAAACCTTATCGTAGCGAAGTAGTAGGTTGGGAATAGAATGATGTTTTCGACATAAGTGCATGACATAAAGTCAGAATAGATGCTTAGTTGTCCAATAAGATGTGTAATTAATTAAATTACACAACTTTAATTAAAAGCTGATATAATTACTAAAGTTTTGCTTAATTAATTACCACATGAACAGAATCTATGTACTCCATCAACTCGATAATTGAGCTTAACTATATCATGAAATTTGTGATGAATAATGCAATGGAAAATGACTTACAGCTTCACATGAAAGTAACCTCTACTACTATAGCAAGGCTTGTTCTAACAAAAACTACATTTATGAATTCTAACAACCTAAATATTCTATATATAGTTCAAAATTCATTATTTGGATAATCTTTATAAAGAGGGCTATCACAACAACCAACTCAACTATTCGTACTATAATCAATATAACAAATGTTCGTATCAACTACCATAATAATTGATATATAGCTAATGTTCGTATCAACTACCATAACAATGATTCATTTTTATTGGGTTTATAGTAACGAATTGATGTTCAATTGCCTCTTGATCGTGCATACATTTATACAACAATACTCAGTGCAATTTTAATTACAAGTACAATTTAGTTGTTATATAAATAGTTTAATTTACACGTAACAAATTGTATTAGTAATTCATATTTTTTTTCTTCACACAGGCAATTGTTTACTTGTTAAAGACACAAATAATTAACCTGACGTTGACAATTAATGATGTACAATAGTTAATGTTGACAAAAATATCACGTGAGATTGATAATTTGTTTTCTTCTGATAAATTTCAAACTTCACATTTCTAATACTACGGAGTATTAGATACTAATAATAATTGAATAGAAAAAGACAAGCGAGTGTTAAATCTGCAGACCAATAATTGAACCCTATCACACCTACATAGCATGCGCATGCGGTAATGTTTAATTTGATTAAATATAACAATGTTAAATACGGGTCTAAGTCGCACCATCATCAAAAAATCACGGGATTAGAGTATTAAACAACGACGAGTGGAGGAGAAAAAAAAAAATAACTTACACAACATGCCGGGGAGTCCAGTGTAAAGAGTACTTATGGAAGTCTTTAGTAGGATCAAACCAAAGGTTAAGTCTTTGTTCTCTATTGCCCTCACCATTGACATAAATATTGGTTTGAACTATATATGGTTCTCCAGTGGTGTTGCCTAGGAACTCAAAATCAAACTCGTTATGAGTTGGACCTTCCGATGACATCTGCAATCAGTAGCAGATTCAGAGAATTATTTCTTGAATAGGGGACCAATTCTCTTTCTCTTTTGAAAAAAATTGAGGACCATCTAAAACCCATAATGATTTTGTACAATTCATATCAAAACTCATTATTACCAATTTTATCACACTAAGATTAATAAATAAAACACCAATACACCATACATAAAATTGCCTTGGTATATAATGAGGTGACCACAACAATGTTACAATAATACGAGTACTTCATACTTTTTACGAATTATTTGTATTAGTTAACGAATTATTAGTTAATTAAAATATACGAGCAACTCATAATTCTTTCATAATAAATACTAAATTTACAGAACATTACATTATCAAATTCTAAGGAAGGAGTACTATGAAATTGAATTAACTAAATTTTTACAACAAAATAAACAAATAAAATTCACATGTTTTAAATGAACTGACAAGCTATGACTGTAGGAGTACTACAGTACCTCTTATCTTTAGCAAAGATAAAACAATTGAATATTGAACCCATCATTTTATAAATACAAAATTAAAGTCTTCTCAACTGTTTTACTGAAAAAAAAATTAATTTTCTCACTTCAATTTTTGTTGTTACAGTAAAAAAAATTAACTGGGGTAAAATTAACCAATAATAATGATAAATTACTTACATAGAAAGCAGTAACAGTTCCAGCGGAATCACCCTCCACTAGCTTGATTTGAATAGTTACCTTCCCATACATGTATTTGCTCTTTGATTGAAATCCAGCTCCTGTTTAGCCAAAATTGACCAACAATTAGTCTCTAGAATAGTCGTTACACACTTACACTACTAGTTTAAATTACACTATTAACACGACCGGAAATTTTAACCCAAGTTTAGTTGTGTATTATTAATATTAACCAACAACTATAGTCTAAATTACTTAAAAAGTAAGTCCATCAAAGTTTAGATGTTACATTACTAGTTTAAATTACGTGAGTACTTGACAATTAAACCCGAATAAAGGCCGAGAAGAAACAAAGAAAATAATTACCAGAAAAGTTATCAAGTTTGAGCTTGAGTTGCTCTCCTTCATGGATGAAATGGTCAAAAGCCCAAGTAGGTTGAAATAATTCATCAAATTTAGATGAACTAACAACTTCAGCCATCACTAAAACTACAAAACTAAGGTAAAAAATTACAAATTTCTTACTTCCAATAAAAGAACCCATTTTTTTCAGAGAGAAAATTTAGTAAATGAGTGAGAGTGAGTAGCTGAGTGATTCAAAAAAATGATTTGAGTCTGTTTTTATAGAGAGAAAGTAAGGATGGCGTGAGTAAGAAGCTCTTGAAATCAATGCAAAATAGCCAAAAGCCACGTCACTATCCACGTCAGAGTCCACGTAGGAATTTATCGAGAAGTGAACCCTAAATATCAAAATATATAGCCGTTAAGAAAATAAAATGAAGCTGGCAAAGGGCTGGACTGTAAATATGGAGGTATACTTCAATGGATGACTGACACTTGGTGGTTTCCAGCTGGGTGATATAGCTGTACAGTTGGCAATGACAGTAGGAAATTAAAGGTGTGTCTTTTTAGAGATGGCATTCAAATACTTGTAAGGGGAATGGTAACTTTTTGGCATGGTCTTGGTAGATATTTTGAGAGGATAATTGAGTATCAATTATTATGTGTAACATAAATTTAATGAGTAAAGATAAAATACAGTCCCTAAACTTTTGTATTTGTGCACTTTTAGTACCTGTCAACTTTGTTGTGCACTTTTGGTCCCTCAACCACCATTCTTGGTGTTTCTAACCAAATAGTTTAGCTAGGAACCTAGCCTAGTCAGCATAGTTTAGTGACCATGACTTTTTTTTTTTTGTCACAATTTATTAAAAAACTTTAATTTATTAGTCTAGAGACCAAGCTACTCCATTATCTTTCTCTCTCCTCAATATTCAAATCTGGGTTTTTTCCTTCCCCTCTTTAAACCCTAATTTCTTCTTCTTTTCTCTTCAAATCTTTAGCCAAAATTAATTTTTTTACAACAAAAAATCAGATTAAATATCAAGAAACATAGATGATTAAAGCTCTAAAAAAATTTCACTTTTCTGAATTTCGTTGCTCTACGGTAGCAACACCAAAGACGATTTATTTTTAAAGCAGCCAATGTTAATTTTTGGGAGTAATGTAGTTGGATTTTTGGGGATGAAAATGTCAAAACGTTTGGGAAAAGCCCGATTTTTATTTGGACAAAATAATTGGAATTTTGGAGAAGTAGTCTAAATTTGACGAAATTTGGGGAAAACAGTCGTATTATGAATTTTGGGGGAAGAAATCTGGGAAAGTATGAGATTAATGGTGGTTTGGAAATTCTGGAAATTGTCAAAAAAAAAAAATGGTGGTTCGGAAATTCTGGAAATTGTCAAATGAAGGTCGACGACATTTGTATTGTGGTGGGAAAGAGAGGTGAGTGAAGTGGGTCCAGAGGTGGCGCCAACAGTGGATAAGACGGAGGTGGTTGCGGCGGAGTCGATCCCTAATAATAGGTTTATGCCTCAAACTGCACCTAGAAATCAAAATCAATAAATAAACCAAAATTAAGATGAACAAAAACCCAGAAAAATTAACATAAACTAGAAGAAATAAGAGGAAATTACTGAGAGGAAGAATAGGAGCGTAGATAAGAGGGAGCATGAGTAAGAAATTGGGCCCTTTTTTCTTTTGTTGTTGCTGCTTAATTGGCTTCCTTTTTTATACAATTAGGAAAATAAAAAAAACCCAAAATCAGAAATTAAGTAGCTTACTGTTTAAAGAGAGATGAGAAGCTTACTGTTTGAAGGGATCATAATTCGTAAGGAGAAGCCATTGATGAGTTGGGGAGGAATTCCGTTGTGATTTTTTGGGATGATTATTTTTAAATAAAATTATTGAAGAAAAAAAAAAGAAAAAAAAAATGAGTCATGGTCCCTAAACTATGCTGACTAGGCTAGGTCCCTAAACTATTTGGTCAGAAATGCCAAGAGTGGTGGTTGAGGGACCAAAAGTGCACAAAAAAGTTGACATGGACTAAAAGTGCACAAATACAAAAGTTTAGGGACTGTATTTTACCTTTACTCTAAATTTAATAAATACTGCTCCATAGTACTCCGTAGTAAATAGGGTGATAATTATTATTTATTTTTTATTTTTTTTATGAAATAGATAACAACTTGGTATGCAAGTCTTGTCTTGAAATTGTAGCCTAATACATCACAAGAGTTACACATACAATAACAAAAATATTTTGACAAATTAATATTGTGTTTGATTGTTTTATAAACTCTTCAAGGCTGGTTAAAGATTAGAATAATCACACACAAAAAAAAAAAAAATTACTATAATCCTGCATAAACTCTATTCAAACTAAAATCAGCGCAACTTAGAGTTTGTTCTCATTGATTGAAATGAGCTTAACTGAATTGAACTGAACCTATTAGAGCTGAAATGAAATGAATATTTTATAAGAGAAGGAAATTAGGAGCTGAATTGAACTGAACTTATTAAAGCTAAACTAAACTGAACTGAACATAATCGTATGAGAACAAACCCTTAATAAAAAAATATAACTAACAAATTAATTGTAACGAAATTTTAAAACATGTGAGTAAGGGTAAAAATAAAGAAAGGATTTGGCGTATGAAAGAGAGTAAGGGGTTGTTTGGTTGACAATGTAAAATGGGGGAAGTGAAAATTCATGGGATTTGAGAAATTGAGGAGTTGTTTGGTTGACACTAAAAAACAAAAATGAGGGAAGTGAAAATTCAAGGGAATTTCAACTTCCTACAAAACAAGGGAAGTAAATTACCTAGTCCCCCTAGGTCAATCAAAATTCATGGGATTTCTAAATTCCCACATTGCCAACCAAACAAATTTAGGAAATTCCTAGGAATTTCATGAGGGAAATAACTTCCCATGAAATACAATTTCCTATGGGAATTTAATTCCCATGTCAACCAAACAAGGCCTAAAAGTGAGAAACATCGAACAAGGGTAATTATGAGATGTGCGTAAGGGGAAAAAAAAGATTTGGTGTATGCAGTGGCGGATCCAGGATTTTCAAACTGGTGAGTCACCATCAATAATTGATCACATGTTTCAATCTAAAAATTATATACATAAAAAAAAAAAAAATTTCACCAAAATGATTTCAATCCAAAAATAGGACATAATAATCCATACTACAATAGTACTTAAAAATTCAATCTTACATGTCGAAAGTACGTACTCCAAATAAATAACATGTTACAAACAAATGGTACTATAAAATTATTACATTAAACTAGCTTTATGATTTTTTACTTAATTGATAATCTTTGTGGGAAAATATTAAAGTTGGTTGCACAAATATAGTATAAATAGAAACAAGAATTATTAAAAAAATTATACGGAGTACAAAAAAAAAATAGTGAATAACTTAAGGACCTGTTATTTAATATAACAGGTCTCTTTAATGAAAAGAAAGCAGCCAACAAATATTCAAATTCGACGACAGCAGAAAAGAGACCGGTTATCTAAATAACAGGTGTCTTTGATATTTTAAAAAATCTAACAAAGTGCTAACTGAGTTGGCAACAATAGCAACAACAAAGAGAACACCTACCTATAATAGGCGGTCTCTTTAATATATTTTTTTTAAAAAAAACAATTTTTTTTTTGCTGGTGAATCACGTGACTCACCATGCACATGAATAGATCCACTCCTGAGTGTATGAAAGTATATTCATTACGAGTGCTTATAGGCGCATAGCTCGTATATATTTACAAAACATATAGGAGGGCAAAAATGTGAATTTGACAAGCTTTTGGAAAAAACTGACTCTACAATGGTACATTATAATAATGTACCATTAATTATGTACTATTATGCAGGCTTAATGTACTATTAAAATATAAGTTGTCTAAATAATACTTTTTGTGTACTATTATGCATGTAGTGGTACTTTTTACCATCCTATATGTTAAATATTTTCACCCAAAATATTTACCACCTATCACCTATTATATATTTAATTGTACATTTTTCATCCCCAATAGGAGCTATGCGCTAAGGGTTAACCACTCATTACAAATTTGTGCAATTAATATACAGCTTCCTAAAAAAATGGTACAAAAAAAAAAAAAAAAAAAAAGGAAGCATAAAAATGATGCGAAATTTGCATTTTTTAGTTATCCACTTGTAAAAGTCAGATACTCACATAAGTCAAGGTCAGACGTCCAGCTCTTTAAGAAAGAAGGTTCGTCCTAGCTTAGTCGAAGCCTAAGGCAAAAACGGAATTCCAGTCCAATTCTACTTTCCTCGACCTTCAGTTTCGAGTCTAAAGCCAATACAATGATAGAGAAAAATTACAAAGAGTATATTCTTTTGTACTCTCTCCGTTTCAAATGTTATTACTACATAAGATTTAAAAATTTTCATTGATAAACACGTACGCTTAAATGAAGTGTGTTAACTAATATAAAATAGAGAAAGTAAGATTTAGAGCTCAAGGAGTGTAGGGTGAGTGAAATGTGGTGTACCAAATCAAGATAGATTCATGTTTAATAGATGCAACCACCATTGTTGATGGTCGTACCAGCATTGTCACCAAATTTCTTTCAAAGAACAATACTCGTACTACCGGAGCTAGGTGTAGAACAAGGGGAGAATAATTGTCCCTGCACTTTTTAAGGAAAAAAATAGTTATAACCCATACGTGTGAAACAAAGAAATAAAGGAAAAAAGTGGTCTAGTGGTAAAAGTGATATGAATTATTTTTTGAGGTCATGGGTTCAATCACTTTAACTAGCATTTTTTTCCCCCTTTGTTCACTATGTAATTTTATCTCACTTATATACCATCCTACAGTAATTGTTCCTCTCATGATCATCATTGATTCAACTAGAATTAGTATTATTTAATGAATCATGTTCCAACTTCAAAATTATTAGCAATTTACATAATTTTTCAAAGAATTGCTCAAATTGCAACCCCAAATTATTGGTTAATAGGGATTTTGAGCAAAGGTATTTGATCTTATTAATATAGCTCAATATAAATTAAATTGTGTAAGGGTTGTGTTTTTGTCAAATTATAGAACGACTTTGATAATCCGTCCCCGCGTTGATTATCCTGGCTCCGCCATTGAACACACGTATTTTAGTATTTAATTAGAATGCAATAAATTAATCAAGTGAAACAAATATATAATGACTCACCCCTGTTCACTTCACCTTAAAAAATAAAAATTTTGTAAAAATAATTTAAATACAGTAGAAATTAAATAATTTCATTAAAGTAATATATGTTTAGTTCAGTAAAATAAATTTCACTTTGCTAAAAATAAGTTCATTTTAGTAAAAATCAGTAACTTCAAAAAACAAAATATAATAGAACATCGGTAAAAATAATTTCATTTTAGTAAAACTAATTTCAGTTAAGTAAAAATAATTTTAACTTCAACAAAAATAAGATAAAGTGAACAGTGGCGAGCTTGTTATATACACCTGGGTGTACCGTACACCCATAAGTTCTTTGTTCTCATTTTGATGATTGTTTATTATCTATACGGTACACCCAGGTGTATATAACAAATTCTATAAACAGTGTCATACACAACACAAAGTGACATAAGAATTTATCAACTTAGTGGTATACAACCAGATATTTCCCTCTTATCATAAACCTTCTTTTTAGAGGTGATCATTGGGTGGGCCAGCCCGAATTCAAATAAATCAGCGAACTTTTCGGGTCGAGCCTGAAAATCAGTGGCGTATCCAGGATTTCCGAACAATGGGTTCAGAATTTGAAAAAAAAGGAATGCTAATACATTAATTAAATATTCAATACATTAAGTTCAAATTTTGGATTACAAACGGATTACACTTAGAAAATGGTAAAAAAAAAAAAATTAAAAAAAAACTTACAAAATCATTCTTCGAGATTTTATACTTTGGAAGCGTAAAACGTCATCATCACTAAATCTAGCATAAATCTCTCTCAAGAAAAGTGACTAAATTGCATCATCATTTGGAGACTCAATATCTTATTCTACAAGATCCCTTGAACTAGGGGAAGAACAAGCAGAGGATTTTTGTGACTTCCCCACACGTTTCCAAAAGACTCTAAACTCATTTGCAAACTAAAATAAACAACAATCATTCAATAAATCAACTACACACTTACACAGTACACACAAATAAAATGGCAATTTAAGACATCAAATTAATTTAACAACAGTTATCATTTATTCAATTATAAACCCCAACAACCAAGAATCTAAGTATTCAATATTTTCAATCAATAAATCAATTATAAAAACTACAAATTTGCAATATAATTAAATGAATTAACAAATAAGTATTGATGTATGTAGAATTGTAGAATCCCTAAAAAAAAGGTAGAATTGTAGAGTACCTTACGTCTTACTCGCTAGGTTGTTGGGCAAATGGTAGAGCCGTGGAGGATCGGTCAGCAAACGAGCAGCCGTGAGTGGTGATGGCCTGTCGCGGTGGCTAGTGGCCTAGTGGGGTGGTTGGGTGGAGCAATTGAGTTACAAGAGAGTTAGAGAGAGTTAGGAACTTAGGGTTTCGAATTTTGGGGAAATAATTTTGGGGAATTACTGAAGCAACAAGTGAAGTCTCAATTTTGTTTTATAAAATATAAAAATTAAAAAAAAAGGGTTGTGGGAGGATTCGAACCCTTGACTCCCTTGTAAGGGTAGGAAAGACGTGGGCTCCAAAAATTACCACTAGGCTGCACATTATCTTGTTGCTATTTGGTGTGAAGATATTCTATTTAACGCTTTTTTATTTTTTTTTTGTAAAAAAATAATAAACTTTTAATTTTTCAAAAATTCAGTGAGTTCAATGAACCTACTTGAACCCAACTTGTATCCGCCCCTGCTGAAAATTATGTGCCCAAACTAGCTGGGTTGTGCTAGCTTTTTCGAGCTGGACTAAAAAAAAAAATCAACTATAATTGCATAAAATCGCTTTCCCAAAGCTCACCCAAAAAATTTTAAAAATGAGGACAAGCCGAGCATGACCCGATTTTGGGCTGAAAATTTTCACCCAAAATCGGGCGGGCTGGGCTCACTTTGATCAACCTTACCTTTATGCGATTCTCAATAACATTTTAAATTATAAATTCAAACCCTGTCCATTCACCTAAAAATATACTTCATAATATTTAGTAAAAATACTCTCACTTCAGTAGAAATAATTTCAATTCAGTGAAAATTAGTTTAGTTCGGTAAAAATTATTTTTGTTCAGTAAGAATATCTTTCAGTTTAGTAAAAATAAAAAAAAAATTGCAGTAAAAATGACAAATCGATCGATAAAAATAATTTCAGTCAATAAAATAAAAAACTTGTAAAAATCAGTGACTATAAAGAAAAAAATTTAAATTTAATTTAGTAAAAATAATTTTAGTTGAGTAAAAATTATTTAAGTTCAGAAAAAAAATTATGTTAAGTTAAAATAATTTCAATTTAGCAAAAATAAGATGAAGTAATAGGGTCATGTCCCCCCTTTTAAAACCTTTATTCACATAATTAAATTTAAAATAGTAAAATTCAATTTTATTTTATTATTCCCTTATCCTTTAACTAATATCCCAAATAAAGAAAAAAAAATCCCAAAAAAGAAATCTACTTTCTACCCATATTATCTCATCTTCTTGTCTAAACGACTTACTAATCTACTAGCTGAAATGAGCTGAACTGAACTGAACTGAACTGAGCTGAACAGAACTCAACTGAACTTATGAGAGCTGAACTGAACTTATTGGAGCTGAACTGAACCGAATAGAGCTGAAATGAATAATTTATGAGAGAAGAAAATTAGGAACTGAACTGTTTAGAGCTAAACTGAACTGAGCTGAAATGAAATTAAGATGAAGAGAACGGACCCTTATTTGGAGAAAATTCCAAGATATTTCATAATGCTATTTTTTTCTAAGAAATTATCAAGCATTTATTAAGAAAATAGTAGGATTTAATTTACTTAAAGTTGAAATTTTATTTAAAATTATTTGATTGGATTGGTTATTACTTTAACTTCTATTGCTATTAATAACCTTTAAGATAATCTTTATGTCTTTCAAATTTTACTGTAGTTGCCTAATTTTAGTGGATAATTTATTACAAATATAACACAAGGTGTGTAGGGGTGAGTGAAATTTGGTGTACCAAATCAAGATAGATTTTTAATGGAAGCAACCACCATTTTTTGTGTCTTGGTCGTACCACCGTCGTCACCAAAATTTCTATTCCAGAATGAAAATAGTATAGTGTACCTGGGTGTACCATGCACATGGTGCACCCGGAAAGAACATTAGGCATATTTTAAAGAACATGGGAAAAAAAAGAACATGCTAGTGTTTGAAAAAGAACATACTTGTGTTTGACAAAAGAACATGTTTGTGTTTGACAAGAACGTGACATTACAAAGAACATAAAGTCTATACAAAAAGAACATGTTATTTTTCATGGTTACTTGGGTGGTTGAACGTGTATGAAAAAGAACATTATATTTGACAAAAAAGAACATGTTCGTGTTTGACAAAGATATAGGTGATCATTGGGCGGATCGGGGCAAGGTTCAAAACTCAGCTCACTTCTCGAGTCGGCCAAGTTTTGGGCTGAAATTTTTGTGCCCAAACCTGCCCAAAATGGTCCGGCCGTGCGGGCTTTTCGGGTTGAGTAAAAAAATCAACTAAAATGCATAAAAACGCAATCCCAAACTCGCCCAAAAATTTAAATTTACGGGCTGGGTCCGACCCGATTTGGGGGCAAAAAAATTCTGCCCAAAACCCGTCCAAAATCAAGTCGGGTCAGTCTAACTTTGATCACCTCTAGCCAAAGAACATAAAGGCTTTAAAAAAAGAACATGATAATACAGTAAAGAATATGTTCTTTATTCTAGTTACTCGGGTTCATTTTTTTTAAATGTACATACATTAAAGAACATATTGTATAATATAAAGAACATATATTTGAAATTTAAAGAACATAATAATCAAATTTAAAGAACATGTTATGCTCATGTTCTTTATAAATATCTATAATGTTCTTTTTTTCGCCCATGTTCTTTTAAATATACATAAATGTTCTTTCCGGGTGCACCATACGCATGGTGCACCCGGGTGCACCAACATACATTATTCCAGAATAGTGCTCGTGTTTGGTAGTAAGAATGCAATATAATCAATCAAGTGAAACAAATATGAGAAGGTATTGTGTTAGTCCGGACTCCGGAGTGCCAAAATGCATATTTTTTATATCCTCAATTGGCGGGATGATATCCTCTATTGGTTGGATGATATCCTCTACTAACTGGATGATATCCTTTATTAGCTATATGATATCCTTTATTGATTGAATGATATTTCTATTATATCCTCTATTGGCTGGATGATATCCTCTACTAACAGGATGATATCTTTTATTGGCTGAATAATATATATCTACGGGCTGAATGATATCCTCTACTAATTGGATGATATCCCTTATGATATGAATGGTGTCCTTCGAACAAGTGTATTATTCCGATAGAGGGTTCAGAATTATAAGAAAGCTAATTATTCATTGAGGTCAAGTGATCGGAATGCCTAGTTGGAGGCTGCTTCCAATCAATAATATTAATCCATAATTAATATTTGTAGACACCCATTTGTGTCTCCCCAAAACCAAACCCGGTGATGAGTACCTTTCGCGTCGAATCATAATCGAATGAAACGAAAGTGTGGAAAGTCTAGTGTTGCGGATAGTTTTAATTTCTTTTCTCTTCTATCTGTTTTGAAAACCTATTTTAAGAAAACAGCCAATCCAGTTTGGTTGGTCCATGATATGGTTCCAATAGTAGTGTAGTTGGATGAGGCTTGTAAAGACCTTTCCAACGATATTCCCAATTCCGATGACTATTGAGGAAATTATGGCCAATTTACTAAACTGGGCCCGGTTTGAGCCTTATATGCGGCCCAATGATCTAGGGGAGGGCCTAATATAATTTATCATTCCTAATGCAATTAGGAATGGTTTTAGTCTTCTAGACTCTTCTAGAAGGTTCTTTTCATTCCTAATTCAATTAGCATTGATAAATTGACTTTTGTTGGCTTTTTAGAGTTTTAATTAAAATCAAAAAGCATTTTCGAGGAAAAGATACGATTTTATCCTCCAGTACGGCAAACTTATCTAATTTTCGAAAACGCGTCAAAAACAGGCCTGGCGCCTGACTCCGGCATTGGCGCCTGGAACCAGGCCTAGCGCCTGGCGCCAATTAGCTGGTGCTGGCGCTAGCTCTGTTTTGCGTGCGCCAAGTGCTCTGTTTTGATATTTTATCTTTTTGGCTGATTTCTCTATAAATAACGTATTAAAAACTCCGTTTTCATTAACCAATTCTCACAAATTCTCATCAACAATCAATTTTCATTCGCAATCATTAATTCTCTAATTCTCTTTTAATCCATTCATCTCTCTTCATCTTTCCCTTTTCTAAACCTTGCTTTTCATATACAAAATTCCGCATTCACAAAATCTAGAGACACCTAGCCAAGTTCGAAGTTGCCTTCGCCCTAGACGTGAAAGGTTTAATTTCTGAGGGTTTGGTCCCAAATCTCTCTTTCAATTATTTAATTTAATTGTTGTTTATTATTTTCCTTGAAGTTACTAACGTGTGTATTTTGTTATTAGAAAGAGGTACGAGGCATCAAAGTAGGTACTTTAATTGATTTATTGATGTTATGATGTAGAAATCATGTTTAAATTGTTATTATGATATTCCTAGTATCATGTTTAGGGAAAAGGTTATAATATCAAATATATTAAATATGATTCCTGCGATGCTTCCTATGTTCTTCCTAATATTTATGATTGTTAGTATCATGTTAGGGTTAAAGCTTTGATTTTTATTGCTTAGTGACATGCTAGGATTTGTTATTAATCTTGTTAGTATCATGCCTAGGATCTTGCTATTATTATTATGCTTTAATATTAACATGAACATGATTATGATTATAATTGTTGTAATTTATGATGATTATGATTATGAATATTATTATTATTATTATTATTATTATTATTATTATTATTATTATTTTGATGATGATTATTTTATTTATGATGATATTATTATTCATGATATTGATTATTTATTATTGTGTTGATACATTATTCATTGTTATTGCTTGATCACGCCTTTTATTGCATGTTTAAAGGGAATTTATACTTGTAATTACGCTTAATAAGATATTTAATAATCTTGTTAGGGTTAATTTGATTATAATTTCAAGTGATCGCCAATAATAGTTTGTTTGTGCATTAATATTCAACCAACATAGATAAACAGGTTTAGGGTTAACCTATTGATTTCATGTTAATTAAAAAGCGCACATGAATATGATCAGAATAAAGTAGAGACCTTTATTAGGGCAGGTTCAATCTCTTTTAGGTTGGATTTGTACCTTCATCCCCGAACCCTTATTTGGTTCTAGACCTTATGGAGTTGACGATCTCTTGGATCGTTAAGGGGTGTAACCTTCACCTCGTGAACGGTTTACATGTTCCTAAAAAAAAACTTGTTGGCGACTCTTTTGCTCTATCTTCTTCCCTTTTGGACGCCACCGTACTTTAGTGTATGATCACAGTGGGGTTCAAGCTAGGAGTTAACGCTTGAAATTTATTCCCTACAATATTACAACTTAATCTTGACTAACCCTTCAGGTCACACCCAAGCAACTAACGATCCGATACGACGAATTAATCCGGAAGGAATTAATGAGTCGCTCGAGTATTATGAATTTAGACGTCGGAAATCGAGATAGGAGCATCGAGACCGAGCGTTGCAAGTCTAGTCGAATTAGTAAAAGATGAGACGGTAAAATATATAATTAATCAACAGTTACCAAAATACCTTTAGCATCGGAATGCCCCGAGCAAACCAAGTGTTAGGGGCAATGGTTCCAGCATGCGCACCGCACTAAGGATAAAGTGCTGGGTGC